CTCCATCATCTTCCCTGGTACCAAGGTTACCATGGGATAACATAAATATTAAAAGCAGACCTTTATATCAATTAAATCTACTATATATATACATAGTATAAACCAACTTTTAAAAAATAAATTCCTGATAAATATGCAGTATGAAAGCATAATTATTAAACTTCTGTATGGATAGATACAGAGAGAGCAAGGGAGAGTGAAAGAGCATGAGTGCGTGTCTCTGCACGGGTGTACACACATTGCCTATGTGCATATTGTCATAGATATACTTTGTGCATAATATATAACATTTAGATTAGATTAAAACCAGCCCTTTAGATCAATGAACTCTGCATCTATATACAGATACATGTATAGATACACATGTACAGGTATTTTAATGACTAAGTTGTATAGCTAGCAGTAAATTAACATGTAGTACATACAGACTCTATATCTAAAAGCACGTAGTGTATCTGTTATATAAAAATATTAAATGTAATGGAAATTAAATTTAATGCATTATTTTGTGTAATAGAATGAAGAAATAGTCCTTATAATGCAGCATTTTTATGGTTCCATTACTGTCTGTGCACTGTATATTAATAACTGCTCACATCTCATGATAAAGTGTATATGAAGCATGTATATATATGTATATATGTAAATGTGAAATATAGCTTGCACTGTATCATTTTAATACTTATATGTTATTACAGATAAAAAGAAGTAAAATATTAAAATAGAAAATATATACACTTAGACACGCATTACCTAACCCGAATACGCGTTTGCTCTGGCGATGGGTTAACGCCCCAGCTGCCGATGTCGCTGGGGGCCCGGCGGCGGCTGGGGCAGCTGGGGGGGCATTTGCACCCCCAGTTCCCTGGGGCTGTCCCCCGGTGGGACGCAGCCCGGCCGGATGCTACGGGCACTCGCGGATCAGCGTCGGGGGAAATAAAAACACACCCTCCCCAAAGCCCTGTGCCCAACCCCTGGTACACCAAAGCAAGCACAGAGGTGAGAGAAGAGAAATTTAAAAGTTTATTAAACATTAAGAATAACAGACCAAAAAAAAAAAAAAAAGATTTGGGCCGAACAGCATACAGGATGCAATCCATTTCATGTCATACAGTTAATTTGATCTCATTTGTTAAACTTGTATTTAAACAGATGCTGTCTTGTGGTGTTGCCAGAAATACGATGGTTGATCACTTTTAAGTTTTAATACTTTTTTTCACATAAAAAACAAAAATAAACTGCACGTCTCTATTGTAAATTACATGCAAAAACAGCTTTAAAGCAATAATTGGGGCTATTACAAACCCACAGAGGCAAGATACCCAAACGCGAGGGCTCTGAGCTCACCCCTCTTGCACTGGCAGTTGCGCAGCGTGGGTGTGCCGGTCCGCGTAGGCACAACCGAGGAAATCCCGCCACGCTCCGGCGTCCCTTCAGTTTGAATGTCTTGCTTTTGTGGATTCAGGTCAGAACGCTATTTCCATGGTGCCAGGTTTAGTGACTTTAGCACCATTCAAAAAAGAAAGAAACGAACACACATCCCCCCCGCCCGCCATGGGCTTTCCCAGGGAAAGCCCCCAGGTGCTCATATTCACAAATACATCTCAAATGCTATTTATTTTTAGAGGGCATTCTTTTTTAAAAAGAAAAAATTCACTTCTAGGTTTCAGCAAAAAAAACCAAAACAAAACAAAAAGACAGACAAGCATTTTAGCAATGCTTGTGGTTTAATAGAGGTCAGTGAATTATTTAGACACGCTATTAATTATTCTGCAAATATATATATTTTTATAAAATTACAATTTCATATCCCTACAAGCTCCTTCACGAGCAACGAAGTCATCAGAGGTGTGACGAGCCCAGGTAAGCTGTCCTTGGGAACTGAAAATGAGCTAAACTTTCATTTATTTATCTTTTATTGTTATTTTGGGGAGACAACCTGGTTACAGAACCTGGCTACAGAACCTGGTTTTTTCCCCAAGTTTTAGCCCACGTATTTTGCCTTTTTTTTCTTTCCCTCTCTTTTTTTTAAAAGGGTGAGCTTTTCAGAGGAGCCAGGTCACCGGCTCCCACGGTAAGTGGTGAGTGCCCAAGTCCCACAGGCTCCTCTCAAAGTCCTCCCCCCCAAAAAAGAGAAGACGCCTGTGCCGCGCCGGGGGCCCCGCTGAGGCCGAGCAGCCCTTCCCGCTCCCTCCAGCGCTTCCAGTCCCCCGAGCCGCACGCTTGCCCGCGCGGCAGGACGGGGCGAGGAGGCATCTGAGCAGCTTTGGGGCTGCTGGACGAGCTAGCTGCTGGGAACCTCTGTGCTCCGCTGTGGCCGTGACAATAATCTGTGATACCCAGCCTACAAAAACTGCCATCTCGCACCCCTTCCCTGCCCAAAAGAAACAAAAGAATTATCTGTAATTTTTTTTCCAAGCTGCCTTTTACATTTTAAAGAAAATTTTGTGGTCACAATGCAACCCACCGATGGCCCTAGCTAGGGGCATACCAGCTGATCTCATACGCACCATTCCTGC